TGCCCCTGATCTGTTCCTTCCCAGGGGTACCCCAGTCTGTGCCCTGCAGGCCTCTCCACACCTTTGCCTCAGTGCCCACCACCAGGTCCTTGAGCTCAATGATTTTGTCGTTGATGGAGGAGCGGTAGCGCTTCTCAATGGCATTGTGGGCTGTGCGCTTCTCTCCACGGCTCTGGGCTGAGCCCGGGGCCTTGCTGCCAGCTGCCAGCCGGTTGATGGGCAGCTTGTCCGCATCTACAACCAGCGGCACTGTTGCCAAGATGGTTCCGCCACTCACCAGAGTCTGCAGGGCCAGATACATGTTACCAGGTGGGCACATGTGTGTGTAGACCCCACTCCCTCATGCCCTGCCCACACCACCCACCGGCAAAGGCCCTGTCTGCACAGTGGCACCGGAGACCAGGGGGCTGAGACCCGCCGCCTTCACAGTGGCTCCGTCTGTCTTCATGGTTGTCAGAAGCAGTGAGTCTGCCTTGATGAAGTGGGGCTGCAGCAGGACCTGAGCAGAGCGAGGGCTCGGCCATAAGTTGTGTGTCTCGGCGAGGAGCTGTCCCCTCCCTAACCCCAGGCCAGACCCCCTCACCGGAACCTGCTGGATCTGCGAGGTCACAGTGGTCGTTGCAGGGGCTGCCGTGGGGGCAGCTGTGACTGTCAGTAGCTGCTGGGGGGCTGCATTCTGGACCTGGGTGTGCAAGGAGATGGGCGGGACTCCTGGAGGGGAAGCCAGTGGCAGGCCAGGCAGCGGGAGCACCGGCTGCTGGGTGCTCCCGGGAGGGCTCCCTGTAGAAATAAAGCCTGGGGCTGCAGGCACAGACCACTCTCACCCACTTTCAACCTGCTCCTCAGGTCTCTATCACCGGCTGGCCTGGGGTGAGTCATTAGCCCGTGCGGTGGCTTCCTATGGACAGTCCCTGCCTGGGCTCTGACGCAAATGTGCTGGCTTCAAGCCAGGCCTCCAGTCTGAGGTTGCACCTACCCTGGCAACAAGCACACCGGGACTGCTAGTAACAAGGCGTCTCAAGCAGCAGAGCGGAGCCCGTTTCTAAAGCCTGCGCAGACCTCTACCAACATCACAGAAGCTTATTCCTGTGCTCCTGGGAGCCCCACCTCGGGTGTCCCCTCCGCCACACATCCCCCTTACCTGTGGAGAAGCCGCCTGCAGGGCTGGGGTAGCCCAACACAGGGGTGGAGCTGAACTGCGGAGGGGCCGGGGCTGGGAAGCTCTGCGGCAGGAGGGCCCCGGGCAGGGGCTGCGGGGTGGGGGGCTGCAGGATGCTCAGTGGCACTGACTCTTCCTTGATACCAGGCCCAGGGGAGAAAGTGGGCACGGGCGGGTACATCTTCAATGGAGCAGGGGCAGGCTGGGAAGGGGACAGGGGCGAGGGCGCTGCCTCCGGCCCGCTCAGGAAGCCTTCGAGGGAGGAGCTCAGTGTAGCAGGAGGTGGAGACAAGCTGGCTGGGGAGCTGGTATCGGGGCTGGCAGGGTCCGTACCCCCTGCCCCACCCCCAGCATAGGGTGGGTCAAACAGGCCAGGGAAGTCACTGTCTTGGTTGTTGATAAGCTGAAGCATGTCTGGGAAAAGGAGAAGAGGATGTGTGAGTGAGGCAGAGACCAATTCCCAAACAGGGCATCGCACACATCCAGATATAACCCTGTTCACACAACCTTTGTCTGCACACAGCTGTATGTGTAGGCAATGCCACCAGAACAGGCCACTCACGGGAGCTCGTGTTCCCGGACACACAGCCACTTTGCAAACACCTGTGCTGTCCGGAGCACTGCCTGCAGCTGCCAGTGCATCACAACGCCTGGACAAGGTGAGCACCACAGGCTCCCAGTCTTGCCCCACGGCTAGGCTGGGGCTGAGCCCAGAGTCGGCCCAAGACTGCGGACTTCGGGCCTGAGCTCTTCCCACCACCCAGTATTTGCCCAAACATCTGGCAACATTCTTAGTCCACAGCAAACAGCAGGACCACATTCATTCATTCACTCATTTACTTATTCAATGAGCATGTGCTGGGCGCCCACACCATGCCAGGCCCCGTTCCTGGCTGTGAATGAGAAAAATCCCTGCCTAGAACCAGGCAACTTTCTGGTGAGAATGTCCCGTATCTTGATGTCTTTACTAGAAGACATCCACCCCTGAAGACATACACACACACACACACACACACACACACACACACACACACACGTCCACACTGCACTGTGGATTCAGACCAGCCTCCAAGCATTTGCCCATGAGGTGACCAACCCTTGCAGACGCTCTCCTGCCCTCTCCACATTCCATCACCTCCCACCCCACCCAGGACAAAAGGAATCCAGAGGCCCAGGTACAGCCTTCCCTGGCCCCACTTGGGGCCTCAGTTTTTCAATGTGTGAAATGGGGACACGCCTCCATCCACAGATCCAGCAGCTGGGGAGGGAGGAAGCAGTCTAGGGCAGGTGGGAAACAGGACAGAGAGGGTCTCCATACAGGAGCGATGCCCCATGCCCCACCCACTGGCCACTCCTACAAGGCCCCCGCGGCAGGACACTGAATTTGACAAAGCAGCTTAGAAACTGCTGAGGAGTGGGTGACTTTCCCCTCCCCTCAGTTTACAGAGGTAAGGGGGATGCAGAGAGAGGCAGGATGGGCTTTAGGCCCTGAAGAAGCCTGTGCCCAAGGACCAGCTGTGCAGCCTGGGCCCACTCTTCCTAGGGCAGCACAGGATCCCCAAGAGAACTGCAGATCAGAGCAGGGTCCTCATCCATGCTGGAAGCACTCTAGCGGTGAGGGCGCATGTCAGAAGGGTGGGTCTGGGCCAAAAGCCGGGCCTGCTGTGGGGCTACCCACGTTGATGGGACCAGGCTAGAGCCCTAATCCTCACCCACAGCTCTGAGAGGGTGGTGTGATCATTGGCCCCATTCTACAGATGAAGACACTGAGCTGTAGAGAGGTGACTTGCTGTCCTAAGTTCATAGAGTCAGACTCAACTGAGTCTAGACCATACTTGACTCCAATGCCCCAACCACTGGCCACTACCCTAGACTACCTCAAAAGATTCGTTCAGACAGGCGCGGTGGCTCACACCTGTAATCCCAGCCCTTTGGGAGGCTCAGGTGGGCAGATCACGAGGTCAAGAGATCGAGACCATTCTGACCAACATGGTGAAACCCCGTCTCTACTAAAAATATAAAAATTAGCCGGGCGTGGTGGCATGCACCTGTAGTCCCAGCTACTTGGGAGGCTGAGGCAGGAGAATCACTTGAACTCGAGAGGCAGAGGTTGCAGTGAGCTGAGATTGCGCCACTGCACTCCAGCCTGGGTGACAGAGCAAGACTTCGTCTCAAAAACAAAACAAAAAAAAATTAGCTCACCTCATCTCGGAGAAAAGACACTGAGGTTGAGAGAGGACCACACACAGCCCAAGGGCATGTAGTGGGGTTCAAACCCAGGTCTGCAAAATGCCAAATCTATCATCTCTGTGCCTTTTCTTGCCCTACCTAGAAGCCAAGAGCCAGGCTGCCATCACCAACCCATTACTCAGTGGAAGAGACCAAGGCTTAGGGCCCAGCCAGCTGCTGGCCACATAACCAACCAGTGTGTCTCTGTGTAGAGTTCTGGGCTCCAGTCCAGGCTTTGCCTGCAGCCAAGTAGCCTCAAGACCCAAGCCTGGCCACTCAGGACTTTGATTTCACCTCTGTAAAAGCAAGTGCTGTCTGTCCTGACTCTTTCCTCCTCACACAGACTGGGACACACTCCCACCTCAGCCCTGCCTGGCCGTGGGCCCTCTCCCCCAGCTGGCAACTGGCAGCCTGACTGGCTCAGCCCAGGGCCCTCTAACCCACTCATGGTGGCACCCACTGGGTCAGAGTGCTCTATAGGACCCATGGGGGCCTCCAGTGCTCTCAGGATCCCCAGACTGAGCTCCCAGCCCTGCCCAGCACCAGCTTGAAGTGGAGCCTGGACCAACAGCCTCTGCTTTCTGGCCTCAGTTTCCTCATCTGTACAACAGAAAAGATTAAACACTTTTTGGTAGGGCTGCCTGAGGCTTTGCTTAGCAGGCAGTGGGCACAGACTGGAGACCCAACATTGCCTACTGACAGGTGCCCAGGCAGGGAAGTCACTGCAGGATGGGAATTTCCTGGAGCAGCTGGCCGAATTAGGATAGGGTGGTGGGCCCAGCCTCCCTGGCTTCTCCAGTAGAAACTCTCCTGGTTTGTGAACACCCCAGATCACAAGTCATCAAGTCATTATGGACATTCGACAGCAGGGTCTCCCACCCCTTTATCCCAGTCTGCATAAGCCTCTTTGATAGATGGGGGAAACTGAGGCCTGAAGGAAAAACTGACAATTTTGACAATCTAGGGCTCCCACCGTCTGCCTGAAGAGTCTAAGATGCCCATAAAAGGCAGGGGTGCTGAACAGGCTGGATGCTGTGGCAGACAGAGGGACAGCGGGCCCTCCTGCCTCCAACCTCCTGGCCCCTCCCAAAGGAGGTGCAGAGAAGGTAAGGCCACCTTCTGCCTCCAGATCCCCTTAGGTTGGGGTGCTGCTCTCGGCTCTCTAAGCAAACCCTTCCCCCTTGAGTTGCAGGAGGCACTAATTTGGTTGGGGGTAGCCCCCCATTTCCCCAGCGAGCTGAAACGACTGTCACACCTTTTCGCTCAGGAGGGGGCTCTTTCCTGCTCCCCAGCCCCCACGCCCGCCCACTCCAGGAGAACCTGCAGGAGACGGAGGCATTGTATAAAGGGCTGAGGGGACCTCCAAAAATACCTTCGAACGTGCAATCCATGGCTCCGCGATCTGCACCCGCCCTTGGGGCGTCCAGGCGGCTGGCCCTACCCCTCCCCGCTCCGACTTCACCTGTCAAGGCGCGGCGGAGTTTTGAAGCCGTTAAGCGCCCGGGCGCGCCCGCCCCGCCCCGCCCCGCCCCTAGCCCCGCCCCGCCTGCAGGTCCCGCCCCTCGGGGCTGCGGGCCGGGCATGGGGTGAGCGCGCGCGGCCAATCAGCAGCCGCGCCGCCGCCTCGCTAGTGCCACGGCCCGGCCCCCGCCCCACCTCCCCACGGCGGCGGCGGGGGGCTCGGGTTTCACCCCGCGGCGCTGAATGGGGTTGGGGTTACTCGCGGGCGTCCGCCTTTAACCCGCTCGGCGCCAGCGTCTGCCGGGGTTACCGGCGGTCACTGGCCCTCAGCTCCCGCCCCCTCCGTTAAAGGGTCAGAGCAGGGAGGTCCTGGCCCAACACCTCAGAACTCTGTGTTCGAAATCACTGGTTCGCTGACGTCCTGCGTGAGCCTTAACTGCTCCAACCCTCAGTTTACTCCTCCAGAAAACAGCACACTCATCTCCCTGGCGTCGAATGGTAGAAGGGAGATAATATGGGTGCAGCACTAAGAAGCGATTAAGGCCAAGCGCTGCCGAGCGGTAACTGCGGTGGGCGCAGGGACCTCCCCGTCTTAGGGCAGCCCCGGGAAGGGGCCACCGCAGCGGGGCTGATGGTCTGGGATGAGGCCACCCCTGAAAACAGGTAACTTCCGGGAAACTGAGGCCCGACATAATGGTTTCCTGACGGCCAGCACGGATGTCCCTCTGCTGGGTGGGTGAAGTTTGCCCCTCCTCCTCAAGGCCTCACAAGCCAGTAGTCACCAAGTGAATCCCGAACCTCTAATTCATTGTAGGGCCCTGGGAGGCCAGGAAGGGACAGGCCCTGGGACAGACGGGCTCTGGGGGTCTTTTGAAGAGGTGCCTGGGCCTGCCTTCCCTCTTTTGTCAAAGGTAAGAGTTACACACACACACACACACACACACACACACGATCTCACACACACACACACACACACACACACACACACACACACACGAGATCAGAGAGAGCCTGGCCAGCTGATTTTGTAGCCAAGTAGACCACCAGCAAAGCCTACCTCGGACTCAACCTGGAGGCCGGGGCGTCTGTCCCGCCCCCAGTCAGCTGCAACCTGGGAGGGAGGCTGAACCCTGGGCAGACTCAGCTGTCCGTTAGGGGCCAGGGTCCCTGTGATCTCAACCTTGCTCTCTTTTCAGGACCTGAGACAAGAAAACCCAGCCATGTCTCCCTCACACCCTGACCTTGTCGCCGTCCAGCCCAGGTGCTTCTTTCCTAGCTTTGGGAGGTTCCAGGACAACAGACCGCCTCTCTAGCACAGCCCAACCCCACTTAGCCCATGGGTGTTCCCTCACCCCCAAAACAAAACACAGCATTGTTCTTGGCAAAGGCTCTGACCTCACATGAGTGACTTAAGACAGATAAGCCTCGCCGGGGGGCGCAGTGGCTCACACCTGTAATCCCAGCACTTTGGGAGGCCAAGGTGGGCAGATCACAAGGTCAAGAGATCCAGCGTATCCTGGCCAACATGGTGAAACCCCATCTCAACTAAAAATACAAAAATTAGCTGGCTGTGGTGGCACACGCCTGTAGTCCCAGCTACTCAGGAGGCCAAGGCAGAATTGCTTGAGCCTGGGAGGCAGAGGTTGCAGTGAGCCGAGATCGCGCCACTGCACTCCAGCCTGGTGCAGGCTGAGAGCCGAACTCCAGGCAGCACTTCCCCATGGCCTCCCAGCCTGGGTCTTTCATTACTTTGCTCCCCAGTTTCTGAGCCCAGAATGTGGCTGGACCAACAAGCAGATACTTGCTGGAGACAGCAGAGCCAGGGCCATCTTGAACAGTCAAGCCTGTCCCCTCCCCTTCCCCATCTTGGCTTTACCACAGATTCCACCCCTTTTTGTGTCTTTATTTCTCCCATCTTCCCCCACTCCCATCCCACGAGGAAGCGGGAGGGGAGGGGCAGTGGCTCTCTTGAGCCCCAGGAGCAGAAGAGCCATTAAAGACTCTGGTGGCGGCGGACACAGGGCCTTCCAGGAGGAGGGGTGTGACCTGGGAACAGAGGGCGGAGGGCACAGACTAAGTTAAGATGCCTGGAGGAAGAGCCTGGGTGCCAGTGGCCATGACCATCCTCTGAAACTGAAGGCCTGGCCAGACCTGTCTCACTCTCCCCTGGGGCTGGATCTGCTGGCCAATTTTTTTTTTTTTTTTTGGAAACAGAGTCTCACTCTGTTGCCCAGGCTGGAGTGCAGTGGCGCAATCTCAGCTCACTGCAACCTCCACCTCCCAGGTTCAAGTGATTCTCCTGCCTCAGCCTCCCGAGTCGGTGGGATTACAGGCCTGCGCCACCACACTTAGCTAATTTTTGTGTTTTTAGTAGAGACGGGCTTTCACCATGTTGGCTAGGCTGGTCTCGAACTCCTGACCTCATGTGATCTGCCTGCCTTGGCTTCTCAAAGTGCTGGGATTATAGGCGTGAGCTACCAGCCTGCTGGCCAGTTTCTACAGAAGCTGGTCATCACTTCTACAGAAGCTGGTTAAGACTGAAAAAGGAAACTCGAGAGCCAGCCCCTCAGCCTCCCCAGAGCCACAGCCAAGCAGGCCATCTGGGGCAGCATGCCTGGGCCAGCCCTTCCTTCAGCCCCTCACTTGCTGTGTGATGGGGACAGTCCACTCCCCACTCTCTAGGATCTCCAGGAGTGGGGGTTCTGGGAGAGCAAGTGCGTAAAACATGCACCACTCAACAGTCTCAACAAAGGTTAGTTCCCTCTACAGCAATTAGAATGGTTTAGAACTAGAAAGTCAGGTAGTGAGTTACCTGATAATTACAGTATTCAAGTTGGAGCTCCATTACCATTTGATGGAGTCGTTTTCTTTTTTTTTTTTTTAAGGGGAGTTAACGGAACCAGTCTAACCAGAGTAAGGCAGTTGAGGCACCTTGAGTGCACAATTTAAGGAAGCGCCTCTCTCACCTCCCCTAGTCCCTATCCTGGAAGCTGGGATAGCTAGTGACTAGAGGCTCACATGGCACCCAAATTGCAGCCCACCTGCGGGTGAACCAATCACTGGGCTTCCCGACGACTGCCAAGAAGGCCCTTCTGGTTCCCACAGTCTGAACACAGGATGGACGAGGAGGCACAGACTGCTCCCTCATTCACCTTCCCCACCTTGGGAAGCCCTGACACCCCTCCCCCCGAGCCTGGGTTCCTCCTCTTCCCTCTTCTTCCTCTCCTGCCCTGATCCTATCAGGACCCAACAGGAAACCTGAACCCCCACCTGGCATCCCTCCCCAGTTCCACCTTCAAACGTCTCTCTGAAAGCCGACGCGCGAAGCCGTTAATGACTACTGTCCATGCGTTCTGTGAAGCCCCGAGGGAAGCCCTCGACAGGTGTCATACCGCGCACTTGCAGGACCCAGCTCTAACCAGCACAGAAGCCTACAACGTGCACAAGGCCTTGAACCCCAGATAACCTCTGCTTGCACACCTACTGGAACAGGGAGCTCGCCACCTGCCCCCATGGCCTCGTCCACAAAACCCAGATCCATCTCTTTGGCAATATCTACTGAGTGCCAGTCCTGTGCCAGGTACTGGGGCCATTGTAGATGAGGTAGTCAGGGCAGCCCATCTTAGGAGGTGACATCTGAAAGGAGGCCTGAATGAAATGAGGGAGTGGGTCAGAAGGGAGGGCAGAAAGAACAGCGTGTGCAAAAAGGCCCTGCGGTGGGCACAGGTGTGCAACAGCTAGACAGTGAGGACGAGCAGAGCCAGCACAGCCAAGGAGCTAGGATTCCAACTCAGGTTTGTCTGTCATCTGAGCCAAGGACTCTGATTCTCCAGGGAACGGGTGGGAAAGGGATTTGCAAACTGACCCTGCCCTGCAGATCACAAAGCCTCGCCAACTATGAAGAGGGTCGGCCCGGCACAGTGGCTCACAGGATCCCAGGGCACACCTCTGTGCCTGCTAATGGAGGTGCAGGGGACGGTTCGCACCATCCCTGCAGGGAGCTGGGCCGCACCCCCTTGCTGTTCTGCTCCCACCAGGCATCTCCTTGATCCTCCTAACTGGAGCCAGTGGTTCTCCTGTGCGCAGCTGGTCCTGTTTGCAGCAGGGGCACAGACTGCCCTTTGTACGCTCACGGCTGCCCTGGGGGTGCAAGTGTGTGCCGGCTCTTCCTGGAATGGGACGCACCCAGGGCTGGAGCCCCAGCTGCACCTGGGCACGGCCCTCTGGAGGAAACTAAGGCTCGGAGGGAGGCCTCATGCCCAAAGTCCCACAGCTGCCCTGTGAAGAATCAAGGACGTAAACCCCATTCTGCTGACCCCAGAGCCTGCGCTTCAGCCGCGGCCTGCCGGGGACAGCAGGGAGCCCCAGGTCCGGCCTGCCTCTGCCCTGACCAGCTGTCCTCATTTGTCAGTCCAGTGAGCGTGTGCGGACTGCAAGGACAGAGAGGACAACACGAAGCTCTTTAAGGCTCAGCTCTGGCACTGCCTCCGCCCGGAGGCTTCCTAACCACTCCCCCACCGAGACCCACCCACATCCCTTACCAAATTAGAGGCCAGGCCTCAGCTGGGGGCCCCTCCCGGCAGGGCCTGAACCAGCTGTGACCACAGCCTCACCCAGCACAGGGCTGACCACAGCAGGGACCCCAGTCAGGGGCAGGGCGGATTCCAGCCATGGCTGCCTCCACCCCCACCCCCTACAGGTGTCTCCCTGGGCCAGGCTGTTCCCTCCACCAGGAATGCCCTTTCCACTGGGAGAACTCCTATTCCTCCCTCAAAACTTGCTCTGGCGCCACCTCATTCTTCCCTCATCTGTGCCCCCCACACACCAGTTCCAACACACTGACCGTCCGACCCTGGAAACCTCACAGCTACACTTCTCCCCACTGGGCTCTGCCCGGAGCTGCAGGTGTGTGGAATCGAACTCAACAGAACCTGTGAGACGGCGATTACATGCGATGCCGGTCAGCACAATTCAGACACCTTGTCAGGACATGGCCCAGGGCACACACTTAGCACTGGCAGCAGAAAAACCACCCATGGGCCTGATTTGGTGGCAATTCTGGGAGCAGCCCCTGCTGCTGGGCAGCTGTTCTCAGTGAAAATGGCAGTAATAAGGTTGGGTGCAGTGGCTCACGCCTGTAATCCCAGCACTTTGGGAGGCCTAGGTGGGTGGATCACAAGGTCAGGAGTTCGAGACCAGCCTGGCCAACATGGTGAAACCCTGTCTCTACTAAAAATGCAAAAATTAGCCAGGCATGGTGGCGGGTGCCGGTAGTCCCAGCTACTTGGGAGACGGAGCTTACACTGAGCTGAGATCGCGCCACTGCACTCCGGTCTGGGCGACAGTGCAATATTCCATCTCAAAAAAAAAAAATTAAAAAAAAATAGCTGGGCACGGTGGCATGAGCCTGTCGTCTCAGTTACTCTGGAGGCTGAGGCAGGAGGATCCCTTGAGTGAGCCCAGGAGTTCAAGATTGAAGCGAGCTGTCATTGTGCCATAGCATTCCAGCCTGGGTGAAAGAGCAAGACCCTGTCTCTGAAAACGAATAAATAAAAAAATGGCATTGCTGCACATTTCTTCATATAAATTCTGTAGATTGCTCCCTGTTGGGTTGCTTCTCTGCAGCTCGTTTTAAAGCTCACATGAAGGCAGCAAGATGTTCCCGAGCTGCCAGGCTGCTGTCTGAAGAGATAAAGCCTTTTACAACCTCCCCTACAATGAATTCCCGTTCCTTCCGGCATCACCAGCACTGGGTGATGGTCATTCTCTTTTATGTACTTTTGGTGGCTTTGCTGGGTCCCAAGGCTGTGACTAGAACTTTGAAGGTGGCCTCACTCGCATTTCCAAGGCTGCCTTGAAGTGCTTTGCATAGCAACCACCATCTGTGGCCAGATGGCCACTCTGTCCCTCCTCCCCCAGCCAGAAACACTGCTTCCTCAGCAGGTTATTTTCGTTTGTTTGTTTTGAGACAGGGCCTCACTCTGTTGCCCAGGCTGGAGTGCAGTGGTAGGATCATGGCTCAGTGCAGCCTCCACCTCCTGGGCTCAAGCAATCCTCTAGCCTCAGCCTCTGCCTCCTAAGTAACTGGGACTACAGGCACACTCCACCACGCCAAGCTAATTTTTTTAGTTTGGGTCTCACAATGCTGCCCAGGCTGGTCTTGAACTCCTGGACTCAAGTGATCCTCCTGCCTCAGCCTCCCAAAGTGCTGGGATTACAGGCGTGAGCCACCGTGCCCAGCAAGTCAATTATCTTTCATGGAAGCCAAGGATAGGGTGCCTGCTCCCTGTGGTGGGGGTGGGGGTTCCCCACTGGCCTACTCAGCTCCATTCTGTC